CTTTATGAAACATCTCAAATTCATAATAACTCTTTCCTCCCAAAATAAAAACATGGATTTGGAAATTTCCACCACCCCCCATGACCCTCCTCCTCAAAAAAATTTGGAATGTCTTTGTTTAATGCCACAGGCCTTACCCTAATTCACAAAAAAGACAACCAAGCATCACGATTTCTAAACTAAGCAGCCTGGTATCTTTCTTTGTGTTTCAACTTACACTGCTATGTAAATACATATTCTAATCAGTCTGGACTGAATTTAGGAGGAGTGAAGCACACAAAGATAGTAAAGACTATTTAGATAATTTTGAGATGCAAGTCTACAGACATCAAGGGATTCTGAGGCCATCCTGGTAACCACAAGTTGACGGGTAGAATGGATTTATGAGGTCACCAAAGGCAAGAAATGGTTTGGCAATCTTCACCTAAATTTCTTAACTTGTGATAGTCATATTTATTAGGCAAGAAAACAAATAAAAGTTGTTTTTCTAACTGTGCACAACCAGAACTAATGTAAATCTATATTGCATTGTTTTTTCTAACAGCTAAAGTATAAACCTCTAAGGATCTGGAAAAGCTGTTTTTGGAATGAATAGTTTCAAAGACTACCATATTAATTTATTGAATGTACTCCCCCAAAGATTCTAAAAGAAATATAGTCAAAGCATTTAGTACTACATAACACCTCAACAGCAGCTTCTACTGAAGTCCTCAATATTTTACTATTTAATCCTCAAAAATACCCCATAAGACTGTGGCAACATGGGAACTCCCCAACAAGCCACAGTGCTAGTCTCCCACCTGCCTCTGGGCATGCCACCCTCCTCTATTGCTTGCCATGCCTTGTTGTTAAATAATTAGGTTCTTAATTAAGTGGGAGGCTGCCCTTTGTATGCCCAGTTCTCCTGGGCCTACATATGCAGCTCCAACCACCCCTGTACTGAATCCCAAGCCTTGCAGATGACCTGCTGTTCAGTCGCCGGCTCAAGGAACACAGTTGTGTCTCTCTCGCACTGCTGTGTGTTACCTCTCAGCTCCATGTTCTTGGGGAACCCTGACA